GTTCCACATCCACCGTACTCACCTGATTTGGCCCCCAGTGACTTCCACCTTTTTCCAAACCTAAAAAAATTCTTGGCTGGAAAGAGATTCCACTCAAATGACGAAGTCATCTCTGAAGTGAACGAATATTTTGCACACCTTGACAAATCGACCTATTGTGATGGCATAAAAAAGCTAGAACATCGCTGGAATAAGTGCATTGCTAACAGAGGAGATTACATTGAAAAATAAAAAAAGTTTTAACATTATTTTGTTTGTTTTTCTATGTGAGGCCGCGAACTTTCCGAACAGCCCTCGTATTAACATATTTTAACATATTTTTAATGTATTCTGCCATAATGTGAATTGTAGGAGTTTGCAATAAAGGGAATTTTACCAGAAGATTTTAAAATGTTTTCATTTTATAGCATAATAAATCCACATGTTTGTATACTGCATTTGCCTAGAATTGTCAGTTGTTTGATTTAAGGAGTTTATTATAGGTAATATCAGAATTAGGGAATTTCCTGTATATCTTTGTTTAGGGAACTCTGCTGATACTGATTCAATTGATTTGGCCTAACATAAAGCATCAGATTTTTCTATCGATTCTTTATGATAAATATGTGATAAAAATGAAAAATGAATTATTACTTTGTTTATATCAGTAATGAATGTGCCATGTCATTTGCTTTTTAGAATGAGCTTACTCTTTGATTTTCAACTTCTTAGATTTTCTTCTTGCCTTTTTGATATCCTTTTCCATTAACTGTAGATATTTGTAGATACCTACAGTTCTACAAATTTAGAACTAGATGTAGATATTTTGCAAAGGACATTTATTAACCTGATTGTATATGGTAGAGTCTCATAAATTTGACTCTCAAAAACTCAACCTTCTGTAAAACTCATTGCATCATTAAAAAAAAAAAATATATACATGTAATCTAATTTTTGCCTATATAATTTAACACCAGGATCAAATAAGTTATTATTTGAATTGCCAGCAAAATTTGATGATAACATCAATTTCATGCGTTAACAAAGAATATAACCCTTTTTCCAAAACACCATGATGCAAATGTCACTAAGTTAAAAGTAGTCTTTTTTTTTAATTAAAATTTAACTACAAATAGAAATATTCTCTATTTGTACATAGTTTATACATATATAAATTTGCATATAAAACACCTTTTTGAAAATTCTGCTATTTAAAATAGCATCATCAATATTCTATAAAACTTGTCATTTTCAGTAACACCTCACTTTTTCAGTCCACATTAAATTGAGGTTGTGGGGGACTCTACTATATATCAATTGATGTAAATTAATGAATCTATTGTCTTGTAACCACTTATTTCTTATCATTTTCAGAATTAGCAAACAATATTTCTTATTTTCTGCAACAAAGATTTTCATGTATTTTATTCTTGCATTTTTAGCACACTCCACTATAGTAGTGAAGTGCTTATGTTATGACTTTTCTGTGTGTGTCAGACATTATATATTACAGATTATGTTCCATTCAATCCATTTATTGCACGTCATGTGCATGTGCAAAAGAGAATTGAACATTTTTGTTTACAGTTACTGTAAGCTATAGTAAAAACTACGCGGTTCCTTTGGAATCTACAAATCACATCCCTTACTGTATCTTCAGTGAAAAATTCTTTTGAACTACTACTTGATTCCAATTTACAATTTATAAAATTTATTTAAATAAAATTAATATTTGATTTGCTTTTGTGGAGCGTGCTATCAGATCAGCTTGATCAACCTTGTTTAAAATGTAATTTACTATTTTATCTCTGATAGTAGACAATAAGTTTATAGTTTATCTGTTATAGAACTGTTCTATGGCTGTTAAGCTAGGTTTACATTGGCATACAAACTGCTATAAAGTAGATATGAACTGCCAGTTCATCCCTTTTTAGCAATTGTTCAACCAGTTCATTAATTAAGAGTTGAAAATATCTCAACTTTTGCTGAACTTCTGTTTGTTTGACCAACCAACTTTTTGCAGCTAGTATTTGAAATCTTTTCATCCAGTCATGTTCTAACTTAGTTTGTATCATATGGTATGAAACAAAGATTTCACTCTGATTATTGTTCATCTTATCATTAAAAAATGGCTGATGGTGATTTACATGGTAAAAATATATTGAAGAATACCAAAAAAACTTTGTCTTTGCAATCTATTGTTTCACAGTCACTGTGACAAACTAAAAATAATCTTCACTTATAGAGACAACCTTTCATTTGAGGCTAAACCTCTGTAAAAATATATAAATTGTGGTTAAAAAATCTTCCAGCAATGATACCATAAATTAAAACAAATAATTCATTAAAGTTCTTTAATAATTCATCTCTGTAATTGAAGATTTGTGTGTTTATCTTTTGGTTTGTCAATGGTGACTTTAACATGATGAATTGGTGAAGACAAAAAAATTCTTCACTTACAGAGATGAACTATTAATGAACTGTAATGAATTATTTGTTTTCATTTATGGTATCATTGCCAGAAGATTTTTTAAAAACCAATTTATATTTTTTTACAGAGGTGTAGCCTCAAATAAAAGGTCATCTCCATAAGTGAAGAGGTTTTTAGTTTGTCATGTGACTGTGAAACAACAGATTGCGAAGACAAAAAGTTTTTTTTGTATTCTTCAATACATTTTTACTAATTTGTTTTGTTCATTCATTTGGCAATGTGAACCTAGCTTTAGGGCTATTAAAATATCAGTTTAATTTGCAGTACACCTATAAAAAGTTTATATTTAATATTTATTTACTTTTCAGTAGAGAATTATACAAAATCAGAAGTAGTTGAAATTGAAGGAGAAATTGATCCTTGTTTTAAAGGATTTATAGATGATATAATATGTATTAAAGTAAAAACGGGTAGTAAGTTACAAAATATACTACGATTTGCTTTAAAGGCGTTTAAGGTAAATTTTATGTTAAAATCTATGTACTGTACCTAATATTTTATAAAACTACTAGCATTTTGTAAAATTTGGAGATATTGTAGTATATTTCTTTTATTGAATTAACTTTAGGATGAAACTAATCAACAGATTTTATTTACTGGTGTGGGACACGCTATTAACAAAACAATTACTTGTGCTGAAATTACAAAACGAAAGTTTAAGGTAAGAAAAAGCATAATACAGTAATACCAATTTCAATGAAAAGATCTGTATTTTATATATAAGAGACTTTAAGACTGTGATTCTCAAAGTTACCAATCTGCAGATCTCTTAAATTGAGTAACAGATGAACTGAAGAATATTTGGGTCCCTGTACATTTATTATCCTGTAAATATCACCTTAGATAATGATATACAAAATATTTTGGCACACAGTCTGATAATCTAACATAAGAGATACAGTGGTGCCTCGTATAACGTTCGCCTCGAATAACGGACTTTCTGTTTGGTCGTTACGTGACTTGAGCAATGGACTGGCTGCGAACAACAGATTTTTCGTTCGGCAGTTACGTGAGGAGAACAACTATTTTTCTGCAAACAAGTGCGAATGATGTTTCCACTCTTTTGCCGTTGCCAATGACAATCTGCTATTTATATAATATATTAGAATTATTAGAATATATTATTAGTATATCTGAAGTACAGAGCTTCCGTTGGGATTTGGCTCGCTCCCTTGTTTATTACATATAGTACATCACCTCAGTGCAGGGTATTTACATTTATTCGAGTGTTGTGCAAATCATGGGTTATAAAAAAACAGAAAGGTGATTTTAATTGAAACAAAGCAAGACATCATCAGAAGGAGTGAAAGTTGACAAAGATTTCCTTGTCAAATAGGGAGAGGTTTAGGAGTTTACCAACACTTGTTATCCAAACAGAGCTCAGGCCAAGAGAATCAATGATCTCTACAATGACACCTTTGCCCGTCATTTCCGACAGGTGTTGAAGAAGAGAGAGAAACAGACCACCTTGGACATGTTTTTCAAGAAGCAAGCTGCCAAAAAACAAAGGATGGAACAAGAGTAGTTGACCCTGCAAGCTCTGGTAGCCTCTCCTGAATCTGACTCCGATTAAAAAACAATAAAAAGAGACCTGCTGCAATGTGTAAAAAGTCTGTATCTGTACAAATGTGCAAAGAAGGTGTTCCTCTACCTTCTTCTCACAACATCTGACTACCCGGCATAATTGGTGACTGCTCCATTTTCATTTTTTTATGGTACAGTACGGTTATTTTATGCTGNTTAGTTTCTTGGAATTCGCAATTTATTGTTCGAGTAAGAATATGAAAACGTCTTCTAAGGAAAACACCATATGCCGGTTTGATTAATAGTTATATTAGAATGAAGACTTACAATGTAATGAGTTTAACTCCAATAATTAAACAGGATATCGAATAGAAACCTCACATAGACAACAAACGACTCAGTCGTCCTAGAAACTGTGGTGTCTAAACACGATCACGTGACCTTAAATCGATGAAAGATTCCAACATCTTCAGTAGCTTCCCAGCATCGATTTTGTCATCAGCTACGTTTTCTATTATTCCTGGTCTATTCAGAAACTGAATTCCTTATCTTAAGTTATTCAAATAAAATATTTATTGTTTGGCATGAAGAATGAAAAGCCTGTTAATCAATAGGAATGCCCGATATAATTCTTTATACAAGACAAAATTATTCTACATACGCATTATTTATGTATTTAACTTATTATGTACAGTACAAACATCTAATTTGTAGAAGATACTTAAGGTATCATGTGACTAAAAAAACCTCACACGTATACAAGTATATACAATTTGCGCCTGAATATTATCATTGTAGACGGTATCAATTGCCATTATCAGAAGATTTTTATCTACTCGAAACCTGCAATTCATCAGCAAGATGTTCTGCTATGTGTCTGATGGAACACGATTGGTATCTTATATTTCGATTTCGTATCACTTGATCAAATAATTACAGAATAAGCTGAGAAACTGAACAAGCTCATTAAGCGTTTTTCAAAAAAAAAGCTTACATTAAATTAATTCCAAAGGCATTGTCTTCCTTCGGGATGATACAATATCTCATACGATGCGAATGACCCGAGACAAATTCCAGAGCCTTGGATGGGAAATTTTATCCCTCCCTCACATCTTCCAGATATCTCCAAATCTAATTATCATTTCTAATCGTTGAACAAACTGAATGCAAATCCTATGCAAACCGAAAATTTTGAAAACATTGGAAACAGAGTTAAACAAGGTTTACGTATTTTTAAAAATAAAAAGTTTTATAGGTTATTTATGAACTTGAGTTTCGTTGGAATAAGATTATCGAGTGTGATGACAATTATTTTTTCGGAATAAATTGTTTTTGTTAATTTGATTTTTTTATACTCGAAAATCATACAGTGGCGCGTTATAGCTTCATGGACCCCAGACAAATTTTAATTAGGGGGGCCCCAGTGTATAGTATTGATTTCAGACATTTTTCTTCGGAGAAATTTTTTGAAGAAATACTTTCTTATAAATTATTGGTTTGGGCTCCACTTAGATGGGGGCCCCAGGCAATTCCTTGTTTGCCCATAGGATAACACGTCACTGAAATCGAACAACTCTTTTTGCATTTGATATTTTGTTTAGTTACTTTCAAAATGATGTATTGTAAATTCATCGTCGTTCTTTAATATATGTTCACATATTTCTACACGAAAAAGTTTTGTTAAGTGAATTCAATCCGATTGATAACCTATCTTTATATAAACCAATAATTATGACAAGATATTCAAAATTATTTGCATTAGGACTGCTGTAATAGGGTCGATAACCCTCCTCATTAAAATCGTTATTCATTCATCATTCATATTTCGTGACAAATATTATCATGCTAACAACGTGGACTGGATAGATATATAGAACAATATATTGCTACAGGTGACCATCGATTGATGCTAAATAAAGTCACACTCTATATTTTACTTTCTTGTAGCTTTTTTTGAATCAGATTAATGAAAATCTCCTATATAAAATGAAGATCTGAAAATTTTCATTATAAATGATGATCTTTCATCGCATTTCCGATTATATTTATTTATTTTTCTTCAATTATTTTCGGAATTTTTCATAAATATTTATTGAAATATTGGAAAATTTAAACTTATTTTATCAACATACTTTTATATATAATATTATAGTTAAAATGTGCGTATTGAGTTCAATGAATAAATTTTATTCAATAATTAGTAATTAGTATTCTGATAATATTTACTTACACTGATTTACTTGTTAATTCCAATTAAAATTGGATTTAGTGTACGTACCAGGATAGTAGAATGATATCGATATGGTAGGATCTATCAAATAAGCGTGATTAATCCCAATTTTAATTGATATAAACGATTTGACTTGCGCCATAAATTCTATAATATTGATATTTTTAATAAGAAAAATCAAAATAAGAATTTTATTTAAAATGTTTTTTTAGTTAAATATAGAGATTGTGATTTGAATTATCCTTTAATAAGATGCAAATTATCTAAAGTTTTACCATAAGATTTTCTAAAGTCATTAAATTAAAAGTTATAAAGTATTACTAAGGTATAAGATACCCAACTTAAATCTTTACGAGGATAGGCGAAGAAAATGTGAACATTTCTCTAGTATAAAGCAGAAAGTAATTAACCTAATGTTGATTATCTTGATCAAAGTTGAAGAGATTCGTTGATCAAAGTTAAAGAGATTGCAAATTACTTCTTGGTTCTTAAATCTATGAAATTTTAATACAATTTATTTATCTTTTTAATTTCAGTCATTATAAATTCTATTATTCAATATACATTGATAACTATAATATTCTTGTCGATTCTTTTAAAAAACATATCTTATAATCGTATATTCATAATAATTAATTAATTAACTCCAAAGGTTGACTTTAAAATTAAACTAAAATTTTAGAATATGCAACTTTTTTAAGATAATTTCTAGTAAAAAAAATCAAAGAAAGAAAAACTGTGAATAAAAAGATTTTATTCAGACTTGAAATTTAGCAATTTATTTTGATAATAAATGTACAAAAATATTTAAAAATGCTTTACAGTTTTGGTAAATAACTTTGTTTTCTCGCAATTTATAAAAAAAAAAAATCATTTTCTATGATAAATTACTTAGTTTTGAAAGAAATAACTCTCACATTCTGTTCAAATTTACTTATACCAAACTGTGTTTATTTTTACGAAAATTTTTATTTTATTATAAATAAAGCTTTGTACAGGATATTTTGTTTTTATTTAAAATTTTTTGTTTTATGTTTATAGATATTGTCTAAAAACATTCTTAAAAATTAAACGAGAAAAAGATAAAAAGTTAAAGTAAATCGGATGATTCAAATTTAATTTTTCTGATAATTTATAATTTTAATCCATATTTTATATCACGTAAACTAAAAATTTTACTTAATTAAATACTTATTGTCTAAATTATTAATTAACAATACAATTTCTTAATATTCTTTTAAACGTTCTCTCCTTTCGCCCCATTGTGGGCCTGGCTGAACCCATGATGGGCCTTGTAGAAAGGCCCTGTTAGTATCTACAGAGCGGAAATAATAAACACAAATCATTCAAAGTTTAATTCAATCTTTTTTATTTATTGTTATATCATCATATTTATTTATTTAAAAACATATCTTAACTAAAATATCGTTTCTAGAACAATAATAATCAGTTTTACAATATTCAAATAAAGCAAAACTTAATTAATATAAATGTATTTTATATGTCGTAAAATATACATTTTAAACAAATTTTGAAATTAGATATTTACATATTTCAAAATTTTCATTTAAAAAAAATGTATATTCTAACATTTATATTAAATTTTGTTTTATTTAAATTTATAAACTTTTGTTTACAAAGTCAATATAAAGTTTTATAATGTAGATGAAACCGTGTGTAAACTCACACTCTATACACTTATTGATTGTGTGTGACTTTTTATTTATTTTGAAAACTGAAAAAAACGCATTGTAATTCTATTGTGTATACAATTACGATATTTATATAATCTTACATTCTGCAGTATGATTATAGTTATTAAGCTAAATTTTTGGTCATTATTATTATTTTTTCTTTCAGTTATGACTATAGGCGACTTTTTCCTAGACTTTAATTTTCCCAACTTA